ACGCCGCGACCCACGAGCTTGTGGCCAAGGCCGCGCCGTGGATCGCCAGTCGGCGCATCACCTTCTTAACCCTGTCGCCCCACGTGCACCACTACTTGCTCAAGACCATCACGCCCACTTGGAAGACCCTCATCGACGTGCCGCCGCGCATAGAGACCTTTGTCCCGGTCTTCCCGGTCGACCCAGCCCTGTCGTCAGCGACTGCATTCAACCTCGGAGCCGAGGAGATCGGCTTCGCCATCCAGGGCAACGCCTCGCCTGGCCGCAGGAACTACACCAAGGTCGTACTGCAGCTGGCCGAGCTGCGGAGGCACAAGACCGCGCCCGACGTGCGGCTGCACCTGCTCAGCGGCAGCTCTGCCATCGAGCAGGTCGCCATCCCGGCCGAGGTTGCCGAGCACGTGGTGGTCCACCGGTCGCTCGACTACGCCGACTACTACCGCCTCCTGGGCCAGAACGTCGCGCTGCTCACTGCCTTCGAATCAAACGCCTACTACTACGAGCGGGCCTCATCGACCATCCCTGCGGCCCTGATCTCCGGCACCCCGGTCATCGCCGACCAGCGGCTGCTCGACGCCTACTCCTACCTCGATCGGTCGCTGGTGTGGTTCAGGGAGCCGGGCGAGGAGGAGATGGACGTGGCGGTCAAGGTGGCCCGGGAGACCAGCGCCGAGGAGAGACGAGCCAGGAGCGCGCAGGTGCGACGAAAGAACCGGGACCTGTGCAGGGCCAATGTCCAGATGATCGCCAGCTGGGTGCGGGAAACGGCGAACACATGACAAGAGCCTTTTTTTTCACCCAAATTCGCCCAGGAAAATGTTTTCTTTGTTTTTCTTGAGGCGTTTCTCTGTGCTTTATTTTCTTTATGTTTTTTTAACCCAAGATGGCGCGGGAGGAGGTGGCGGGACTGGTGCTGGAGTGGCTGCGGCGGGAGAACCTGCTCGACACGGCCGCAACGCTGTCCCGTGAGGCTGCTACCCTCCTTGACCGCCTCACAAAACCAGAGGTGTGCCTCTCCATCTCTACTCCATCGATTTTGCTGCGATTATTTTTATATTTCCTGATTATTTATTTCTTGCCTGTTATGTGGACGCATGTGCAGAACCGGCGGGTGAGGGATCTCACAGCGCTGCTCAACGCTCACGTGCTGCTGCTTCAAAAGAAGAAACAGAAGCGCGACCTCAAGCAGAGCTTCCTTCTCCGCTACCCCGAAATCGTACACTCTCCCTCCACGTGTCGTGTGTCGTGTGTCGTGTGTCGTGTGTCGTGTCTGATTCCGCTGTGCGCAGTTGCCAAAGACATTCCACGCATTCCTGAGGATGCTGGATGACTACCAGCTCATGACCTCGTCGGTGGCCACCACTACCACCACCAGCACCACTGCCACCTTCCCTCACGCCGCCTCTCTGTCGCCGTTGTCGTCGCCGCTCTCGCCGCCCGGCAGCGTTCCGCGCTCGCCCGGCGGCTTCTACGCCCCGCCGCCCCACCCGCGCGCGCCCGGGTCGCCCCGCAGCACCGGCGACGCGGCGGCTGCGGCTTCTGGCGGCGCAATCGGCAGTGGCGGACCACCCAGCAGGCAGCCGCTCGTGCCTCAAATTCCCAAGCACATCGCCGACGCGCCGCAGCGCCGGGGACGCGGCCGCAAACCCGCGGTTCCGCCGCCGCCGGCCGCGCTGCTCTCGGCCCTGGCCGCCCAGCGGACGCTCGCGCCCCTCCCCTCCCCTCTTATGCTCTCCACTCCGGGCAGCGCCGGCGCACCAATGACGTCGGCGGCACCGATGCCCCTCACGTTCGCCAGACCGCAGCTGCCCGTGGCGAGACCACCGCCGGCCACACCCGCGCCGACGCCGACGCCGACGACCTCGGGCGGTCCCCAGCAGCTGCCAACCGCCGCCGCGTCGGCACTGCCGACTTCGCTTCCGCGCACGCGACCTCCGCCGATACCGACGCCGGCGATTGCGACGACGACGGCCGCAACAACCACGACCACCGCCACCGTCGCTGCTGCGGCCGTCGCTCCGTCGCCACTGACTTCACCACCGCCAGCGCCGGTCACATTCGCCGCGCCGGTGGCCCCGGCGACAACAGCCAAAGCACCAGCACCGTCGTCGTCGTTGTCGTCATCGTCATCATCATCGTCAACGACATCATCAATCCCACCAGCGCCGTCGTCGCCAGCGTTTACGGCACCTTTGCCGTTGTCGACATCGTCGTCGCCGTCGAAGCGGAAACGGCAGACGCCGCGCAAGCGTAAGATCGAGGCCGTCGCCACGGAGGTGATCGGCCACTCCTCCAAGGCGCCCCGCACCTCGGCTCACCCCACCCCCTCCAACTCCACTTCCTCGACCACCACCGTCACCAGCACCGCCGCAGCCTCCGCCGCCGACACTCCACTCGATTCCGCCGAAGCCCTCTTCGTGCGTCTTTCCTGCATCGTGTCGTGTGCGGTGTGTGCGGTGCGGCGTGTGCGGCGTGTGCGGTGTGACGTGTGCAGTGTGCTGACTTGGTGGGTGGGTCCGATAGGCGGCTGGCGGGGAGGAGATGATGGTGCTCGACGACAGCTTCTTTGAGATGCTGCTCAACTCGGACCTGCCGGAGAAGCTGGCCGAGCAGATCAACCGCAACCTGCGCAGCGAGGCCGAGCAGCAGCAGCAGCAGCAGCAGCAGGCGCGGGACCAGGAGCGGGAGCAGGCGCGGCTGGCGCGGGAGGCCGAAGCCGCCGCGCTCGCCGCGCAGGAGCCGACCAAGACGATCGAGGAGATCGTGGAGGCCGTCACGCACGGACCGGCCTTCGAAGCCCTCCTCAGCCAATGGGGTACGTACGCCATGCCACCCGCGTGTGCGGTTGGCGCGTGCGCGTGTGTCATGCCCGCGTGTGCGGTTGTGTGTGTGCGGTGTTGACCGGTCTTGTAACAGACGCGGAGATACTGGACGACGAGGGCGAGGGCGAGGACGAGGACGAGGGCGAGGCGGTGGGGTCGGACCAGTACGAGGAGATCATCGACGAGTACGACGACGAGCTCAGCATCTCCGACGACGACGAAGCAGACACGGAAGACGACAACCAGCACAAAGGCAACCACGGCGGCGACGCCGCAGCAACCACGGCTGCCGCGGAAGAGGAGGAGGACCACGGCGGCAAAGTCATCGCCGAGGAGGACGAAGAGGAGGAAGCGGGCGCGCCGCCGACGGCGCCGTCGTCAGGCGGGCGAGAGCGGGTGACTCCGGCCGAGAAGCTGAAGAGTCTCGACCTCGACGCCTTCCTCAACACCATACATGGCCCCAAGCAATGAAAGAGAGAGAGGAGAGAAACGTTTGCTCTTCTGATTGGTTCATCGTCTTCTCCTTCCCCTTCGCCTGCTCAACCTGCTCCTCAGCTTTGTTGGGCTGCTCGTTGGTCTCACCCCTCCTTTTGAGCAGCTGCTCTTGTCGAGATGGCCAACGCGTAGAACCAACACCAATGATGATGAGCCCCCAGAAAAGAGAGTCATAGTGCCCTGGTGGGAGGGTACCTTCTGTTCATGCTCCACTCGGTGTAGTGGCTGCGCAGAGGGACAGGCGCACCAACCATAAAAATATGGATCAAAAAAGAGCAGCTGCCTTGTTGTTTCCCCCTCTTTTCACAGTTCTTGGAAGGAAAGGCCATTGTCGGTGGCATCTTGAAGGGGAACAGTCGCGTTCGCACCCTCGCGACGCCACCACCTGATTGTTACCGCCAGCACGACGCCATCATCAGCAACGCAACACAGCACGACTCGAATGGGGGGGGGGAACGGTGTACCGAGGGAGTGTGGTCGATCAGCGCCTGAAGCGGCGGGTGCGGGGAGAGAAAGCGTGAGGCTGGGCTTGTTGATGCAGGCCCAGAAGGAGGGTCGTCCGCCCAGGCCCTCTTCCTCCCGCACCAAGAGCAACCGATACTTCACAAAATTCTGCCACGCCTCGCCTGCGCGCATAAGAACACACGACACACAACACACCACGACACACACGATGCGTCAACACTTGCCTCCTGTATGCCTTGATCGCGCGGGTGTGTGTGCTGTGGTACCCAGGTACTCTTGATGGGGGTCGGCGACGGGGTTCATGACCGTGTTGCGTGTCAGCTTCCCAAACGGAGCGCCTGTGGTTCACGACACCGTGTGCGATCAGCGCTCGTTCGTTGATCCAGGGAACCAAAGAGTTTGAGTGGTGCGCACCCTTGCCGGCGAAGACGATGAGGTTGTGCGCGTTGACGAGCTGCTTGAGCGCGAGCACCACCTTGTTCATGCGCGACTTGCTGCCGCCATAGTACCCTCCCTTCCCGCCGAATCCGCCGCCGTACGGTTCGGCGTAGCGATCGGCGTTGTGGAAGGCCCCGATCGAGTCTATCACGATCACCTTCACCTCCGCCGCCGCCGCTGCCGCTGCTCCGCTCTGTCTGGTCTCCTTCTCCTTCCCTTTGGCTGTCGATGTCGTCGACGTCGCCGTCGCCGGCTGTCGCGGTTGCTGCTGCGTGCGGGCGTAGTTGCGTATGAGCTCGTCGGCCATCTGGAGCGTGGCGAGGAACTGGAGCGAGTCCTCGCAGCGGAACACGGTCAACCGAGCCAGGCACGTCCGAACGAGCTCGTCTTCGTCCTCTGCCGACGGCCACTCCACTTCTTCATCTGCTTCTTCTTCCGCTTCGTCGTCGTTGTTGGCTACGCGCTGCCGCTTCCTCGATGCGGCAGCGCCGCGGTGGGACCTGGTGGTCTTCTTCTGCCTCGAGGCTGCCCTCTGCTGCCGAAGCTTGGCGACGGCGAGGCGGATGCGTGCGCGTAGCACACGCTCCAGGCGCAAGATGTCGAACTTGAGATCGTTGTCGAAGAAGATGGCGCCCGCTCCTTCTCCCTCGAGCTCCAGACGCTGGGAGCCGCCCGAAGAAGAAGAAGAGGTCGTTGTGGAAGTAGAAGATGGCGACCACGTAGATGGGAGAATGGTGCTGGCTACGATGTGCAGCAGCATCTCGGTCTTGCCCGAGCCGGTCTTGCCGTAGAATTCGACCACGTCGCCCCCTCGAATGCCGCCTCGATTCGAGGTGCTGGTCGCTTCACCGCCAGCCGAGGCCGAAATCTCTTCTCGCCCAGAATGGGAATGGAGATCTCGCTCGCTGCTCTCGTTCGAGTTGTCTGCAGGTGGGGGAGGAGCAGCGCCGCCGTACATGAATTGCTCGGCCAGGTCGAAGATCTCGAGGCCAGTTCGGAAGGGCTTGGTGCGTGCGCGCTTGAAGAGCGTGTGCGCCGATTCATTCGGGTAGAGGATCGCACGCAGGGCTTCTGACAGCGTGTGCGGCCCGCCACCCAACGTCGATGCAGCCCTCGCTGTCTGCCCTTGTTGTGGCCAGTCGTCCATCGCCTCCATCATATATCAACAACCAAAATCAAATTTCATTAGTTGTTTTCTTCCCAATTCATTCCAAGAAATCTCAAAATTAACAAAAATAAATCAAAAGATGGAGAGAAAATGTGAATCTCTTGAGGAATCGCTGTTCTCTTGCGAAGAGACGAGGAGTACAAGTACATCACGATGGTGCGCTGATCAGCCACCACCGAAATAATAAATAAATAAATAAATAAGCGGCCCACGCGAGAGGCGTTGGTCGGCCTTAGCCACCGCCCCAGGCGAGGACGATGTAGACGACGGAGCCCTCGCGGATGTTGTACTCGGCCACCGTCTTTCGATCATCCAGCACTTGATGATAGAAAAGCTGCAGCGTGTACGGAACCATTCCTGCACAAGCACACATCAGAACGCACACGTTAGACGCGTGCGCACACAACACGACGACACACGACACACAGTGATGACCTGGCACGTACCTGTTTTGGCGTCGAGGAGTTCCTTCATCTGCCAGATGGTCATGGTGGGTTCGACGCCCTCGATCATGGTCATCTTGCCCGCCAGGTTCCGGATGTAGACCTTGCCGCCGAGCCTGATCTGCTCGTCCTTGGCCTTCTTCTCCTTGCGCGCCAGCTTCTGCAGCTGGTTGCGCTCGATGATGCGGCTGTACTCCTCGATGATCTCCCGCAGCTCCCACGGCAGGCTCTCGACCATCGACTCGTCGAATCGCTTGTACTCCTCCCTGGACTTGACCGCCTTCGCCTTGCCCTTCTCGCCAGCGCCGCCGCCGCCACGACGCGCACTGCACGGGCCTCGTGGCGTCGTTGCCGACGACTCCTCGGGGTCCGATTCAGAGTAGACGTCGTCGTCCTCGGACATGACGCACTCCTCCCAGCCCTCCTTGTGCTCCTCGTCATCGTCGTCGATGTCAATGTCGCTGTACAGTCGCTGCTGCTGCTGGACCATCTTGCGTAGCTTGGCCTTCTTCGACTGCTTGATCCACTCGAAGATCTGTGTGAAGCAGATGTTCTTGAGGCTGTTGTAGCCCACGCCGTCGGGCGCGATGCCGTCGAGCCGGTCGTAGTAGACCCCGCGAATGACTCCGCCGCGCTTCGACCGCTCGACGTTCTCCGCGAACGCGTCCGGGTGGTCGAGCAGCTCATTGCCTGCGCGCCGCGACAGATGTCAGTCACTAAGCCGAGCGCAGGCTCGTTGTTTGCAGGGCACAGGCGTGAAAGAAGAAGCGTACCAACATCCTTGACGAGCGGCTTGCTGGGCGAGGGCTGCGCCAGCAGCTGCTCCAGCTCGATGATGATCGATTCAAAATTGAGGATGGACATCCACTCGTTGATCAGGCCCAGGCACACGCGACCGTTGAGGTCAATGCTCGGGTGGTAGATTCGCTTCAGGCACTGCACACAATCAGTCAGCACCTGGCCCTCTTGCAACCACTGGCGAGCACCACAACACACACACACACACACACACCACGGACAAGAAGAGGTGGTGGTGTGTGTGACGTACGGTGAGCTTGGGCGGGTCGTTGGGATAGGTCTTGGGAATGTCGAAGCGGAAGGGCACCGAGGCGTGCTTCCACGGACCGCCCAGCGGTGTGATGATGACTTTGAGCGCCTGCGACGTCGCACGGTGAACCAAAGGGTGAGCGCACAGAGGAGGAGAGCGAGAAGTGCAATGATGAATAATGAAGTTGGGGGAGTAGTGGGGGAACTGGGTGGATGGAGCACCTTGATGTCGAGGTCCAGGTCTTCGTCATCTTCGCTGGAGCTCTCGTCGCTGCTCTCGTCCACGGGCAGCTGCTCGAGGGGATGGCTCAAATTGTGCTTGGCTCGTTCGATGCGTCGTCGCTCGCGCTTCTCCTCGCGCGTCTCGAAGATGCACTTGATACGAACCGTGGGGAAATGGGGGATGTCGATGATGTCCTTGTAGATTCGCGAGAGCAGCGCATTCGTCATGCCCCCACGCTTGGACTTGAGATTGCGAAGGCAAATCGCCTTGTTGCTACGATTGGCCGTCAAGACGACCTCTGTGGGGCTCGTTGACGTCGATGTGGTCGTAGTTGTCGAGAGGCCCTCCATATCATCTTTATCATCCAATTTCGTTTTTTTGGCGTTGTTGCGCTTCTTCATCTCTGCCAGCTTGGCCCGCACGCCAGCCGTCGTTGGCGTGTGAGCCGACCCGTTCGCTGTCCTATCCATTGAGACGTGTCTTGCGATTATCTCGAAATTTGCTGCCCGTCTGATGCAGATTCCTTCTTTGCTCTCTAAGCAGTCTCGGTGGCCGGTTGGAAGCCAAAAAGGGGCCTGGAGTGAGGGAACTCTAAGCCGTGTGCAGCGTGGAGGTGGGGTAGTGGCTGAGCAGAAGAGAGGAGGAAGAGAGCACAATTAGACACTTAGTGAAGATGAAACATCCGTGCGCGTTTCCACGAGCGTATTACGGCGTCGCTCGGGTGTTGGTGAGCCGCCGATCGGCAAAAAACCGGGAAATGTTTGTACGCTATCGCCGAGACGGTGTGATCGCCGGCCGACACTTTGGGATGAGTGGATCTGCGGGAAATGTTCTACTCGCTCCCGACATTCCTGAGTGATGAGAGGGTGCTGCTGCCTCACCACCGCTGAGTCGCACTCTCGTCGCGGTCAGTCTGCAGACCACATGGCGCAAGAGTGACTTTGCGGCGGACCGTGGTCTCTGTGCTGCGGACGAAAGGGTGATGGTGTGCGCTGGTTGGGTGAGCAGTAGGAAGCTTCGGCCGCAGAAGGTGGCAGAAGAGAAGCCGGGGTTCATCTTCGCCCAATGGGAAGGGTCGGTTGCTTCTGGTTTGGCACTGCCGCACTGCCGAGTCTTCTTGTGCTGGCCACGGCAAGCATGACCACAGCCAGTTAGCGATAGCAGCTGAGACTTCGAGAGCTCGGTGAGCACCACGACCACCATCGACGGACGGCGGCGAATGGGCACCACCAACAGCGGTGATCCAACCCAAGGAGGGAGCTAAGATGGCTAAAAGGGGCGAGGGCTCTTAGCGCGCCCCAATGGGCAGGGGCGCACGCAGCGCTTTTGGCTCCGTACCAAGCTGACGTCAGCCGCCGCCCAGGTGCTGCTTGGGTGCAGCTTCTGTGGCTTCATGAAGAAGGGCAACGGGAAGGCAGCAACAGCTGGCGCGCTGGTGAAGGCTTGTTCTTGTTTTCTGCCCCGACCTCCACCACATGGCTACGCCGCACGGAGAACCGCCACGCCCCTCGCGGGAAGAAGGAGCACAGGTCGTTGATGGCGGGGAGACGGACTCCGTGTGGGTGGAGATGGAACGATTCAATCCCACGATCCAAGTCGACGAGGATGTGGAAAATAACAAGAGGGACGGCAAAGATGGCGACGAGCAGCTGCAAAGCGGCGACGAGAGGCATGCCAGCAGCGCATGGGGTCGCCTCTTCCGTACAGCCGAGAACGAACGGGCCCCGTCTCGCACCCGTCGAAAAGGTTCGTTGTGGTACCCTCAATCACTGCGAGATTGTTCCTTCTACTTTGCCCAGGTTGCTGCGGCACGTGCGTTGTCTAAGTCGCATCTTGGCCACCATGTACAGCCAGCGTTGCGGCCGACACCTCTTCGTTCGAGCTCCAACGCCAAGGTACCTTGCAGTGCCGGCACATCACATTAATCTCTCTACACGATTAATTCGCCATCAATCATGACCGGCTGTTGTGTTTGTTGTGGTTGGCACAGAGAGCGTAGAGAGCACGGATAGCCTGGCGCCAGGCGAGCCGGGGTTGCGCAAGCGTAAGTAAGTTACTTAGTAA